TATCATTAATTCATATATTTATTTTTACAACGCTCAATACACTGGTGCCACTGGGCTAGCTCGGATATTTCTCGAGTCGATGCTTTCGATTTCGGGCTATCGATTTCGCAGGCAACATCACGTCTTAATATTTGAACTGGTAAGTCAGGTAATGAGAATGCGCTCATTCGCAAGATGCTTTACAGAAGGCTATTGAGTTTATTCTGACGCAACTTTCCTGTGTAAAAGCTGTTTAACTGACTGCAATTTCTGAAACTGGGAATGCAGTCCTTCTGGTTTGCTGAGACACTGAAACACGAACAAACAAGACCTTTACACGACGGCTCTACAATTTTTGTTTAAGATAAGCCTAAGAGGACTGCAGACAATGGCGTATACCGGATGACAGAATCAATTGGCGTATTTTCGCCGTATTTCTGCCGTCGCCAGTAGAGTATATTATATTTGACTAGACAAGTACGGAGAAAACACAGTGATATGGTGAAAGATACAATTACGGCAGAGCGGAACAGCACAGCGCTGCAGTCGCCTTTTGTACTGTATTTTAACACAAGGTGTATAAATGATATAGAACTACAACAGCAACAAAATCATGCAACCCAGGCCTTATCTCGGACTTATACTGGTATTGTTACTTTTCAAATGGTTGTATTTGTTTATGTTTCAATATGAATCAGCAGAATGTTCCCCGCCTTTAATACCCTTTCTGGTAGAAAGGTCAGTTAAGGTTCAGAGGCAGGGTGAGTCTCATCTACATGTGTTGGAAGGTCCCTGACGCCATTGAGAAGCACAGCGACCATGAAAGGCACACGAGAAATAGTTGAGGAAACATCGCTTCAATAAAAATGAATTGATATAACTTCTACCGAATATAATTGCCGCTGACTGCGTTTTATATCTTAGAGATTTGTTCATGGTTTGTGGCCAGAGTCAAAATTTGCAGGTGACAAAAAAAGTCATGTGTTTTTTATCTAAGCGAAATCTTTGGCCCAATGGTGGGTTTTTCATATAGTGTGCCAATTGCTATGAGTTTGAGTCTCTGAGGTCCGTACTCGACATTTTTTATACATAGTAAAAAAATATACATTAGTAAAAGCACACGTAAATGCACAATTGCACATAATACATAAATGAATACATACATAAATACAAACATGCACAGACACACAAACATCCTTACATAAATTACATACATACATACATGCGTGCGTGCGTGTAAGAATTTATGTAGTATCTAGAGAGAACATGCCTCACTGTGTCAAACAGTAGTTGTGCCAGGTGATTGTAAAAACAACCCCTTCAGATGAACGGCTTATCAACGATCGTGCTGTTTCTTGAACTAGATGATCGATAATAAAGTTTGTTCCGTACGCATTGTAGGTACCTATATTGATCTCAAACTTACCGGTTACTAGTGCTTACAACTTTGTATCTTATAATGACAGATATTGCGTAGAAGGTCAGCTGGCTACTAAGATTTCGCATACCAATACCTCTGCTTGATGTTCAATTAAGGATTACAACGCTATGTGCCCTGTACTAATAAATTGCTTGTGATCTAGAAATTTATAGCGAGTGTATTTTGCATCAGGCTTGGTTTCCTTTATATACTACAATTCGTGTTTGAGTACCTGCCGACGCCATTATCTGCTTTTCAAAGGCTGAATTTGACAAATTAATTATGCTAGAACTCACCTTTTTCCTAGGAATTAGTATCATTTGTATAGTGTATCTATATATACGCGCAATCTCCGCGCATATGTATTGCTTAATTTTGAATTTTATAGATATACTCATATGTGTGCCACACATGCAGTTTCAGACCTATGCAATATGGTAGCAACGGCAAATGAATACTCTCACTATGGCTCACTATGGCTATGGTGCGATGTTCAATAGGGCACAGGCCGCTTTATGTGGCGTGTCCGTGTGTGTACTCACATCGTGAAACGAAGACCAGCTGAATTTCAGAACACACTTGATACGACCTCATGCACTCTCTCTACGTGCTCATAAATAACAAATGTTCCACTCTCAGCTCAAATGGCTTCGTTGAGTGTGGTTTCATTGCGAGACGACCAATTGAGCTGTCCTGTTTGCGGTCAGCTTGATCTCGGATACCCTTATGGTTTTCACAAACAACTTTCAGATGGTGTTAATATTTATGTGCCTCTATACATTTCCTCGTGTAACTCTGAAACTAATGCTGCAGAAATCTGCGGTTCTCATGGAGCTATCATAGAATTTAAATATGTACTTTCAGTGGGCCGATGACAGAACCACACTAATCGCCATATATAAGCTGTTCGCGAGTTAATATCCAGACAACGTGCTCATGAATTCTGTTATCTCGAATCCACTTTCGTACGCCAGACTTTTAGTAGGTAATGGTGTATACGTGCCTGTGATCGCAGTCTCGGGGTTCATATCTGCCATGAGAGTAGTGGAAAATATCTTGAGAGACCACATATCTGAAAAGCTGATTTAAATACAATATAGGCCATAAACTAAAAAGTTGAAATGAACATACCAACATGGCTTGCGATGAAATCGAGTAGCTCGATCGAAAGCTGCTTTGCTGAGCTACTCTGAGATGCTAGCGACTTCTCGTCGAAGAAATTGTGCCTTCCCATTTCTTCGCATACCTGGAGATGAAAATGTGGTGTTAGTCGATTTATTTATTTTGGAGATACGAGTAACGGGTGACAGATAAGGATTAATTCAGTTAAAGTGGCAAAACTTACCCTTTTGTTTATTTGTAAATCAAACAAGGGAATGCCGAACTTTATGTCATATACTAGCCAACCGACTTCATCGGCACTGTCTGCTACTTCCGCTGTAGAAAAATCCGCATCCACATTCTCACTAACGATTGAAGCTGTGCGGTTGTGTGAACGAGATGGCGCCTTTCCGATATTTCGGCGTTCTGTGCGTTGTAGAATTATATAGCCACAGTTGTTGACGAGATCCACGTGCTTCTTCAGCCGTTGTATACATGGCAGTGCGCACTGCATGCGGCGATTGGTCTCCAGTGACTGGTCTTCAAGATGTGAAAAAGAAAATTGACCTGTGTGTCAGATGAAGAGACAAAAGTGGTATAATACTGTCGAAATGATCGTCACTGCCAAGAAGTATTTGATAAAGTAAATCAAGCCTTGAGAAAATTTCGTGTCTTAGAAGCAATAAATTGGGCACTCAACCTGATAAGTTCGACGCCTTTATTTGCCCTGCATTCTGCAGCAAGTCTGGCGGCATCGGTAGAGGGACGTATATCACATCCTTCCCTTCGCACTACGATGGGACAGGTGCACATTATTTGACGATTAGTCGCAGTCGATTTTGTGCATGGTGTCGCAAATGGAAGTATTGAAATGCCACGCACTCAAAATTCTGATCGTGCGTGCGAATGCGACCTACGTTAGCACACGGCTCTGCAGCGTATCGCGTACCTTGTGACTGTCATGCAATAGAACAGGAGAATGTCGAAGGGTTTCATTGATAGCCATCAGGCATGTAGACATCCGAACGGTTGTCGGCTCGTGAGAAAGCGTCGTTTGCGTCAGTTGAGAGCAGTTGTGGAACATTTTCGGCAATCGTCGCAAACGATGTCCCTGCCGCAAGAACACAGTCGGAGGACCTTCGCCTAGAGTCTTGTAAAGCCAGAGTTTGAACCAGGGAGAGTTAACCTAATAGATATTTAGCATCAACAGTTTGTTTAGCACTGGAAGGCGTTGCACATAAATACAACAGCATGCTATGTGCGTAACAAGTTTAGCACTGGAAGGCGTTGCACATAAATACAACAGCATGCTATGTGCGTAACAAGCATTCGGAAATCGTGAGCTCTTGACCTGGTATGCAAAGTGGCAAATATCCTCATACAGTCATAAGTGCTATCAATGCCATCCTATAGCTCAGCCGAAGTGGCAAATGGTGGCATACGGAATACTTACTGAAGTATCACCCTACACCCTTGACAATTGTAATACAAGCGGGTAATACAAGCAGGAAGTGACGAATTTGCGTGAAGACTTGCGTCGCTTGTCATACTTCATGAATAGGTGGCCCAAGATGAGTTGGCGTTGTGACCGACAACGATCGAACATCGACTGACAGAGGCGCCATGGAGATCAGTAGACGATAGTTTTTGGCCAGAACGCGAGTTCTCGTATGCGCATCCAGATTATATAGCGATTCTGAGGCGATGAGAGATGATTATTATTAGCCCAGAATTCCGATGCACAATTCTGTTTCAAACAGTATCGTTGTTTGGCGCATGGCACAGACACACGAGAGAGTAAATTGCATGGACATACCTAATCGTAGAAGATCTATCATAACTCGCTGCTTTGGTGTGTTATCCTGCTCTACGCGAGTTTTTGCCATTTCATGATGGACATCAGCAGCTGTTGCGTTGCTGCTGCTTTCGTCGGTACCAGTCTTAGCCTCAGTAGAATATTTTGCAACATCGCCTACTGTTGCCGTTTCTAAACTGGATGTACTATCACCACCGCTCACATCTTCAATAAGCCCCCCAACCGCTCCCCTCGTGTGATCTAATGATGGTCCATCAGCCGACAAGCAACCATCCAGGCCACCCGCACCGCTTCGCAGAAACATGAGCGTGTTCCTGAGGACTATCGCATGATCGAAGAATCTCTGGGCATCACCTTGCATCAGGTCGCCGCTTTTCACTTTGACTAATTCTTCTAAAAACGAGTCCAATGATTCGTCACTGAGTTTTCCCACCTATACAGCAGATAGAGAAGATGGAGAGGTTGATGTTCGCACTGTGATGTTCGCACTGTGTTTGAATTGACGTGGTGATTCTAAATTGATTTGCAGAACGTATCTGGCGGAGGTCTTGAAAGCAAATTACCTCAAACATGGTGACTGCATGGGTTTTTAGACCCTGGGATAGATTCCCCATCATGAGGAAAGCCGTGAGAGATGAGTCGAATATGAAGCCAACCCGCTTCTGGCTTGGCCCTTGACCTATAAAATATTCGGATCGTCCATCTCCGCCGGCACCATCGCTGAGAGCGCCAAAAGTACATACAATAGATAGTGCTATATGACAGGATGCTAAGTTCAATTAGTTACACAATAGCGAATGTACGGTATGCTGCGAACCCAGATGGGCCACAATAATACATAACGAGTCAAAGCGACAACAGTTCGAGATAATCTCCGTTCTGCAGTATCGATATTGTGAATTTACAAACAATGTACATAACAATGTACATATTGATGGAGTACAACTTTATTTATCCGCAACGACCGCAACGAAGCAACACCCACATTAAATAAAATATTCAAAACTTCGATCGAATCATGGTTTACATCAGCTACTGCAGGCTCAGGTATTGCGAGTTTATTAAAAGTACTTGATTGTTTGCTTCATATGTATGGTGTTCAACTTCCGAATTTCCGTAACTTAAACCTTTCAGACCTGATCTAAGCAAAAGACTAAAACATAGGAATATTCAATCGCAGTCTAAGATATACATAGGTAATTATAGAGCGCCACTGATCTTTGTCGATATGGAAAGCCCATGACCAAACAAGATATAACACCATACGATATTAAGTTGTCTGATAATATCATAAACTTCAAGCGCACGGCACTAAGCAATCAAAACAGATACATACCAATCCTTCTCTTGCAGCATAGCTGGCAATATTTCCGACCCGCCTGTCGTTCCAAGCCAACTGTTATGCACCTCACGATTGTCTGTGCTCGTAATCTTATCGGTTCCTTTCTGATACCGTACATGAAGACATAGTAAGCATGCGAATCATTACCGATTCACCCACCCCGAGCAAATTGTGACGTAATTCGCAATTATCAAATGTATCATACCTTGATAGCGAATCCCAACCGACAGTATACTGAGATGGCATTCTTTATGAGTTGAATCGGCATTTGCAGAATGTTCGCCAGTTCTGAATGGATGTAATGAGGTGATGAAATCAACGACTTTGAAACGGTACAGATATCGGCTAGTACCATATCAATCCAAATTCACTCTGAAATGGGGTCCGGCTTCCACATAAGCGTAAGTTGTTCTCGACCGTTGCGCCAGAAATCTGCCACAAACGTAATATATCAACTAGCAAGTGCCCTTCACCCCAACCTTCAATTTGAGCATACCTGCTACCGTGGTGGTCTCATCTACTGTGACAAATAGTTTGTATAATAGAGTCTCAAAGTAGTCGCCCAGTACTCGGTTCATTACGAAACCTTCCAAAGGAGGGACTGAAGTGGAATAGATGGCACAATGGTCAATCGATGCTGGTGTTTGATCAATTGTTTTATACATCGCATCGTTGACATACACATCAGGCAACTAGTATACAACTACAAATGGATTGAGGTGACATTTTAGAACTCAGTTTTTACGACACAGGTTATTTCAGTAAGGTCTCCGCAGCAATAAGTGTTATAAAAATGATCAAGCCATCCCCGTACTATATGTTGAGTTAAGTGAATAAGCTATATATATAGTTCAATACTTCAATAATAGCAAACCATATTTCAAATACACTACTTTAAGCACACCTGATATGCAATCATCATCATTGATGGGTACACGCAAATACAACAACCCTTTGACTGCCAATCGTTCCAGGATGTTCCTGTCTATCTCGCAGGCCACCATCGGGCCAAAGTCTATGAGCGTATCAACGATAGCCTTTTCTTCCTCCGAGCATAGCTGCAAATTGAAAGGAGATTGAATTATTGAATAGTAACGGATCGATACTTGGCGAGAACCGAGCCAGAAATATAAGTCGTCGTTATGACCCATCCGAGGACTCCTTCATAAGTAAATATACAGCAAAGCTGTACCATATCAGTCGTTGTTCAATATCAAAACGCCCATTCGGGACAACACCTTGGAAGTTCTTCGCTTTTGCAATTGCATTGGCATACCATTAGGACTTTGATGTCGTCGTCACCAACCGAAGCTACATGTACGATCCACCAATGTCCAATTTTATAAGGGACTGGATTGGCCGGAAGAAGCTCCTCTATCAACTGATCACGATTGCCTTGCGTGAAAGATTTCATTGTAAATTGCTGCCCCTGTAGCGTTGTATATAATTACAAAATCGAAATTGCTCTGTAGGAAATGCAAAACCCGACGTATAATCGTAGAAGCAAACACGTATATCCGCATTATTTAATGGTGATCCCCGTAGAGATATTTGTGAAAATAAGCTAACAGCCCCGGTGCACTGACTAATGGAATGCCAAAGAAAATACACTCTACTTTAGTGTCCCTTACCGTTGACCTGCTCTGGTTCATGATCTCGATGAATTGATTTCTACCTATGCCTAGTAGTCGCACGCCTCCAACGCAAGCGCCAAGAAAGAAAGAAAAAAGAGTTGTTTAACGCGCGAATCAGCGACAAAAAAAGGTGCGATTCAGAATCTAGAAAACATGAATATGGGCTGTGGGTTAGTCTATGTGGATCCATCGATATACAATACGATCTGATAGTAGTGTTTCATGATCTTCAAAAATGTGGATATCTGCACACGGAAAGCAAAACAAACAAACAACATCGAAACGCAATTATTGGCAAGCAATAAGCAAAAAAAAAAACAAACCGAATCAGAACCCCCAGTGTGCGAACGTTCAAAAAGCTTCAAATTTGTACAATTTGCACACACCATCGGCAGCGGTGAAGTTGGGCAGTGAATCATAACTTTTTTCTTTCACCAACAGATTTCGCATCATTTCTCTGTAGTATTTAAAAGCATCTATCTTTAGTCCTTTCACCATGACGTCTGACAAATGGTAGGGGTACAGCTGGAGAAGAGGGTTAAAAAAATAGAAATTATGAACTAATAAATACAATAAAGTAGGCTGTCTACGACCTCGGATAGCTAAAGATGATAGAGCATCTCATAGATACTTAAGTTGGAATAAATATTGAAAATTTGAAGATTATAGACTGTACTATTAGAATACTCCACGGCAACATCAACAACAGCTATGCGACATTAATATGAACAAGAACAACCTCCCTAAGGAAATATGAGAATATAATTCGTGAAAACGAACATTCACCTACAAAGTA